AATCAGTTTTGTTTTTTTTTTTGGCAGAACCAGGGATTAAACTCAGGCCCTTGTGCTTGCCATGGAAGCGCTTATTCTACTGAGCCATCATCTCCCTGGGCCCAAAAAAAAGTTTTAATAAACTCCAAATAAATGGCTTTAAGAATCTCATGAGGAAAAAAGAAAAGAATCTTAAGAGGCCTGGAGATATAGCTGGCACAGTGCCTGCCTGGGAAACTCAAGATTGTGAGTTTGATTCCTAGTACCAACAAAAATAATCTCATGAAAATAAGGTTTAAACAGGTCTGATCTTCATGCAAATAATTTTATTATGTTTTTCTCAAATTTTACTTTCCAATGAAAGGTTATTTTAAAAAATGTGAATAATTTGTCAGTAATGTATAACGAACTCATTTTTCTATCCCAAATAAAGATAAAGTCAGGCTGGGGATATAGCTTAGGCTGGAGATGTAGCTTAGTGGCATCAGCGCCTACCTGGCAAGCACAAGGTCTGGAGTTTGATCCCCAGTACCAAAAAAAAAATAAAAAATAAAAAGACAAAAGTTATTCTGACAAAATAAATGTGAATTTAAAGAACTGAGCATACTCTATTGGCACCTGATGCTTAAAAATTACCAAAGCTCTAAAGCTCTAAATTACCGAAGTTCTATTATTTAACCCAAAGGTTAAATAACAGAACACTTTTTTGTTTTTTGAGACAAGGTCTTGAAGTTCAGGCTGGCCTTGACTTCACAGTGATCCTCCTATGTCAGCCTCCAGAAGTGCTGGGCTTGTAAGTTTGCCCCACCAAACACAGCTTGGAACACTAAAGTTTTGAATTAGATATGCATGATCCAAAATTTCCACTTGCCTGGCAAGTGCAAGGGTCTGAGTTCAATCCCTGATTATGGAAAAAAAAAAAAAAATTCTTCTGTTAAACATAATTTTAGTTACAAATGAAAACAAAAGACAAAAGTTAATTCTGGAAGAAGAACATGTCTATTTAAACATGAATAGGTCTTAGGTTTATTAAAACATTTCCAGCATAAAAATTACAGGGAAATATTCCCGTATTTGAAAACTGCTATGAGAATCAAAGTGGAGCACAGGACTGTAAGGAGCAGAGTCACTGAGCATACTATAGAGGTATGGATAGTTAATCCCACTGGAACTCGTAGCATCACATTCTTCTGGACCTGTGGAAAGAGGGACAGAAAATTAAATTCAGTTAAAATGCATCACATCCTTCTCAGATAAAATCACTGTTTAATTTTAAATTTGATCTCTTGCTTTTTTCTTTCAAATCTTTCATGTAATGTTATATTACATGCAACATTGTTTGAATGACTTAGATTCTATATTTCACTTAATGCTACAGATCAGACTCAATTTCCACAATAACTCATAAGTTCACATTAGTTCTAACTTTTCCACTTTTTTTCCCACTTTTTACTTAAGAGTTGAACATACAATATTCTTTTTCAAAAGGCTATATCCTGACCTCACCTCCAAGAACAATATAAACATGTTCTTCCTCTTACTCTGTTTCACATTAGAATACAAAATTCTAAGTTGAGCCCTAGAGAAAAAAATATTAAAACAACAATAAAACTAAAGGACTTAGCCTGTTTTGTGGCTTCTCTCCCACAGTTTATTCTTCATATATTGTACAACTGAACAGAATATGTCCTTTAGTGTGGCTGGTAATGCAAAAATTGTCCTATGTTCAACTTAGTTTCTACCTTCCATTTGGTTTTGAAGATAAAGGAATTTATTTAGAAACCTTAGGAAAGGGGGCTGATGAGATGGCTTAGTGGTCTAAAGCACCTACTTACAACAAGCTCAGCTAAGCAAAGCACAGGGACCGCGGTTCAATCCCCCAGCACCACGTGCCAGTCAGCCCCGCCCCCTAGTGGGCTGAGCTGGCCACACACTAAATAAATAAATAAATGTTTTTTAAAAAAAGAAACCTTAGGAAAGTTTATAGTTCAAAAATATTTTTTTCCATTATTTTATTGAGAAACAAATAGCAATGAGACACTTTCAAACCAAACTGGTAGGACAGTTCCAACAATTAACACATTGCATACATTCTTCCTAGTGGTTAATTGCTGTACAAGATGCGGACATGATATCCTATCTACAAACACCATTAGAACAAATCCCTCTATTCATTAAGAGAATGTAACTATATATCCATCCCAACCACCTTGAATACACAGATATGAAATGGACATTCAACTGTATCCCTCTTTTTGTTAAGTTCCATCATTTAAATATTATAAGTGTGTAAACTCAGCAAAATATTCTAAAAGAGTTCAGTAGTCCATAATAGTATTGGATCATCTGCTTCACTGGCAATGTCAGAAATTGTTAACCTGTGTCCCCTACAGCTCAACATGACAGCATGGCTTTACTTCTTATACTTCTTTTTTATACTTTTCTGATGGATCGTTAAGAACAAGGTAAAGCAGGACCTATGCAACAAGAGTTGTAGCTTTTGGGTCTGA